CAGCATTATAAAGGAGCTGAATCTTGACCTTTCTTATAAACTTGGGGAGCGTGAGGAACCTCCCAGCATTATAAAGGAGCTGAATCTTGACCTTTTTTATATAAGGAAATGCTTACTCCCTGGCTCAGGTCATGCATTCTGTGGGGCTATAATCTATGCCTTACTGGGTGTAGAAGATAAATTCTTACAGCAATCATGGAGGAACACTATGTCATGAATGCTCAGCCACTCACCTACATCAGGGTGAGGGGGGCACTGTCACCAAGTTCATTCACACCAGGGATCAGAGTGGTAGTGGTGGTGGTGGTGGTGGGGGATCTTGAAATGGGAAATGTTCAACCCAGAACTAAACTGTCTCTTCCACAGGCCCTTGGGATATCAATTTTTATTTGGGGGGCAGGGGGGCGACAAGAAAATAATGACATTGTTTTAAATTTGAGAATACTGGTTTTCTAGATAAAGGATACATAAACCTTAAAACTGGTTAACTTAAAAGCTTTAAATTGGTTCACTTGGTTATCCCTTCCTCAATGTTCTTCAGTCACATTTTTCTAAAGGTTTACTTCCTACAATGGCCAGCAGGATATCGCAGTTAATAAGAATCTGGCATGCATTTTAGTTTTAACAGAGAATAGCAAGTTCAAAGTCTGACAGATTTTTTAAATGGATGAAAGTATATGACTTTCAAGGCCAAGATTTCCCTGTTTAACTGTAGACAAGATTGCCCTGTTTAATAAAGTGGGAAGAGGAAGGGAAGAGGGTGGAGAGGTTGAAAGGAACACAGTCTCTGGTAGCAGAAATAACAACATATAGGGTATTCTTACCAAAAATTTCTGAGATCTTTGAAAAAATTTTCTCTCTCTATATATATAGACATAATTTAAATTATTCTAAATCCCCCAGATAAAATTTTAACAAACTCCATACAGGATACTCTTATCAAAAATTTCTGGGTTCTTTGAATATACATATATTTAAATTATTGTAAATCTCGAGATAAACTTTTAATAAATTCCACAGGAAGCACAACTCCTTCCAAGCTTTGAAAAGAGTTCTGGAAATTACAGCTGTTATTTGGTTATCAGAAGTGTTGAACACATGGTGATTTTTAAGGGGGGGTTTATGGCTAATGGGCATTAATGAAGTAAATTTGGTTTACTGAAACTGCATCTCTAATAAAAAGCAGGCCTTTCAAAAATGGTCAGTTCTGAGACTGCCTGCCTCCACTGTTGATGGGTAAACATTTATATTTTTAATTAAAGTATTAGAACATAGAGACTGTCTGTCAAAACTATTTTCCATGTGATTATTAAAAATATTTGATAACTCTGGAATCACTGATAGAGGTCAAATTTCACCATTTAAAAATATATTCTAACAGAAAGATAACTAAGCCAAACTACAGAGTATCTGAGAAATGGGAAAAACCCTTGAGTTCTGAAAGACTCCCCATGTCAGGTCAGCACTATAGCCCCTGTCTTATAAAATAACTGCTAGCAAGTTCTGAACTTCCCCTTTCACATCAGTGCCAAAGCTTGCTTTATTAATTTAGCAAAACACACTTTTAAAAGCTCTGGATATCAACTCTAAATAATTAGTAACTGATTTTAAAAATCAGTAGGAAAAAAAAAAAAGATTCTATATGCCTATATTCTAATTGTTCTCTGATGATTCCAAAACAATATTTACAATTTCATTATTTTTTGTTTTTTAAATAAGCAACTAGAGAAACTTGATTAAGATCTGCATTTTCAATTCCCAAGAAGTTTGATATGTGGCCGAATCTTATATTTTATTGTCTAAGGAAAAATACTCCCCAGATTCTATAAGCAAAGAGCACAGCAATTCAATCTGAATTCATAAGAATAAACTGTTATCCGATGGTTATATAAACCAGTAGTAATCACTCCCTAGCCTTTACTTCAGTCCAAAATTCTGACCATACATGGCCTTGGATATAAATCTAATTGAAATCAAGGGGTCAGACTGCATTCCCTGGTGAGATGTCTCACTGCCTAGGTAAGGGTCATTCCAAACAGGTCACAAAGGAAGTGGTCACATTCAAACATAACCAGCTCTTGCAGCATTTGTTTGCTTGGGTGCCATCTCCAGGTTTAATCATGGTCTCTCAGAGATCCTTGCACCATTGAAGATGTTACATTAACTATCAGTCAAGAATATGGACAATTGTTGATTGTTTCCCTAGAAACAATCTAACCATGGAAAGCAAATCAAGTTCATTAAGAGAACAGAACTTTTGGCAAAAATTAGGAGTTATGGCCATTTTTCAGGAATAATGCTGATTACCAGGAACAAAAAAAAAAAAGAGAGAAGAGAAGGAAAGCAAAGAAAAGAAAAGGAGGAATCCATTGGCTTGAAATTCTTAACTCTCATTTTTCTTCCCTAATCACCCTCTGGAATCAAGACACTTGTCTTCAACTGAGAATCCTCACCCTGCCACAACTTTCTTGTGAAACTTAGGAAAAACAAAATGTTAAGGTATTAAACCTGGACTATTAATATGGATAACTCCTCCCAAATAAGTGAACAATAATAAAAACAATAAATAAACTATACTTTTCTGGAAAAATAAACCAAAGTCCTCAGAAAGTTCTTCCAAACAAAATTTAAAAAATTAATACTATAACAAAATGCAACACAACTTAATTGTTTTTATACCATTTCGTAATACAAGTCAGTATTCACAGTTTTCTTAAAGGGCCTCAGTACCCACGCTCAGAATCAGTAGCTACCACCTTAAGGTAATGCTAAAGACGGGAGGCCAAGGAAAAACAATCAGGTAATTACCAGGTTCCTCCTTCATGCACTTTCTTATTCAAGAGCACAGCACATGTGTGCTGCACATATCCTGTGTTCCACTAACAACACGAGGACAATGGGGTGAACTAAGGACAGAGAGGCAGCAGGAATAAGTGAGTTTTAGGTTGAAGTGGGAACTTTCTGGCTTTTAGGAGTCTGCATTATGCCACCAACGCTACCCAAATACAGTTACTTATAGATAATTATTTATTACGGGGGAATGGAGGAGGATGAGGTTCTAAAGCAATGATGAAAAAATGAATGATTTTAGTTTACTGGCATGAAAGGAATAATTGAAAGGATGTAATAAAACATTTCCTAGCCAACTAAAATTTTAAGGGCAAAGAAAGAAAGGGCAGTAACATTGATGGAATGCTTCTGTGTGTCACGAACTATGCTTAGGACTTTAATATGTGATTTCCCTGACCATTACCCAAGTACTCTGCAGTGAGATTCACAGCTTTTAAGAAATTTAAGGCAATTTAGAAGGCTGTCGTGAAAGGGTTGTGGCATATTAATATTTTAAAATATGTTCCTCCAACACCAAAAAGGTAGGTTTTAACCCCAATAATTCCTCATTGCCATTATAAATAGATGTAACCAATTAGATTATCAAGCAAAGCACTGAATTTAATTTACATGTCAAGTATGAAATCCTGCCACCCATGCCAAGTCAGATCTTTTAACCTGTTTATAAATGTTCACTATGAAAAGTAAAAGACATTGACAATGTCCAGCTTTTTCAAATATAGAAAACTTGCCCTGAATCTAAAACTTCTGAAGGCAAAATTTCATCACTCTTGCTAATCTCACTTGAAGCTTCCAGATTTTTGTTCCAAAGGGAATAAAGGCAAAATTAGAACACACACATACACACATACACAAAACCACTGCTCATAAAGAAATGTGAGACACTTCCATTTCTCTTTCATTTTCAGTCCCCTCAATCCAAATAGAAGGGCTGCTTCCTTCAATGGCTTAAGACCAAGAGTGCATTACTGAATTATGATCACCACTGAATATATTTACAGGGTTATAATCACAACAGGCAACTTACATTCTGCAGTTTGTTTCACCTAAGTATAATCTAAAAGAGAAAGAAAAATATTTACCAAATTACCTGCTACTGCTGTTATTCTTCTTCGACTTGTTCCTCCGTTTTAAGGCATCTCTGTCCTTGTTATTGTACGGTAACATGGAGGCATAACCATGTTCAGCTTCTAGAAAACCGGAGGATCCAGTTAATGAATGAGCCCAGAGTATTCAGTACTCTCTCCCCTCCACAGTGTCTCCTTTTAAATTTATGTTTCCTTTAAGAGTATTGTGGAAATAATTAAACGCAGCAAAGTGGAATTCTGTGAACAGTGATTTTTTTTTTTTAATTGTGTGAATGCCCTCAGTTCGGAGGTGTACGGAGGATTCCAGCTGCTCTTTGTTGAAAGAGACACAGCAAGTCGCTCAGCTCGCCGAGCCCGGGTTTCCCTTTCGCAGCGTCCAGCAGGTTGGTGGGTGTGTTAAGTGGGACCTGCCTCAGGTGAAGCTGCGGGCCAAACACCGGGCGCCGGGGACAGCGGAGGCGCTCCCCCTCCGGCTGGGAGACCCGGGCGCCAGGACCACTCGGGGGCCGGCCGGGGCGAGCCCGGGTGAGGGAAAACAGGGGGTCTGGCTGAGGAGGCCGGGACACCCCACTCGCAAGGGGGTGGAGGACCCTTTCCACCTCCATTCATTGCTTTTGGACAGCGGCGGCCTCCCTCGGACCGCGCGTGGAGACAGCTAGAGGGGTTGGGAGCGCTCGCGGTCGCGCTCTCCGCGACTCCAACAACCCCCGGAGCGGCCGGGCGCCCAGGCCGCGGACCAGCCCCTCAGGGTCCCCGGCCCCGACTTGGCTGGACCTCTCCCCGTCCCCGTGCACCTCTCTCCCGCCGCTCCAGGAAGTCGGCTGCCTCCAGCAGCAACTGGATGTTCATCCGACCCGCCGTCGCCATTCTGCACCGGGGGCCGGAGCCACCGGACCAACTCCCACTGCCCACGGGCTCGCCGCCGCCGCCGGACACCCGCGCCCCTCTGTGGACCCCGTGAAGCAGGGCTGAAGGAGCTTCTCTGGCGACCACGCTCGCTGGGAGGGGGAAGAGGCTAGTGAGCTGGGCACCGCCGACACTGACAGAACCTGCAGCTGAGCAGCAGCCGCCACCGCCGCGGAGTGTTTATCCCCGACTCACCATCCCCCCGCCCCCAGCCCCTTCTCTTGACAGGCCTGCTTCGGCTGCGTTCCTCATTGGACACTCCAAAGAATGCCCCGCCCCTAGCCTGGTCCTATTGGGGGAGGACATCAAGGCCCCGCCCCCCAAAGTCCGCTTCTCTCGCTGGTTGGGCATGCTTGACAAGGCCCGGGCTCCACCCTCTCCCTCCAGTTGGTGACAGGATTCGCAACTCCGCCTCGTGCTCCTTCCCTGTTTTCCATTGGTTCTATACCGACAACCAGGCCCCCTTTTTTGCTTTGTTAGTATTGGCCAAGAGCTACAGAAGGCAAGCTACTTCGCCTGTTTTCTATTGGTGGAGCCTTCTGAAACCTCCCAATTACGATGATGTCACCTTTCTCCAGGCCCAGCGAGCCCTGACTGGCTGGAGGTGAGCGACCCGGCTCCTCCTCCCTGGGTCTGGTATTAGTTGGGAAGGAGGACCCCGGGAAGCTGGGCGGCGCTGATTCACTGGCCGTGGTGGAGCCCGGCTCCACCCGGCCCCGCCTTGGACCTGTTGCCGAGCCTAGTCCCCGAGGAAAACTTCCGGCAGCTTGTCTGGAGTCCCTCTAGTGGAAGGCGCACCGCGCCTCTCCTGGGCTTTTAGCCCAGCTCGGGTTCGGGGTTGGGAACGCTGGGTCTGGCGGCCGCGGCCACGGAGGTCCCGGTTTCCCGGGCCTCAGGTGGCCGAGGACCCCGCCGCAAATCCTCCTGAAGGGAGAGCAGCCGGTGGGTCCCAGGCCCCGACGGCGCCACGTGGCTGTAGAGCTTGTGGAAAAAAGCCCGGTTCGAGTTAAATGCTCACGGCCCAGCTTTTTTTCTCTCCTCAGAAAGCTGCGGTAGATAGCACCGAAGTCCTCTCCAAAGGCTTTTTTCTTCTTCCGGGAAGTGATGCTATAATTAATTATGCAAGTTGGTTTTAAAAAGTTCTTGTACCTACAAAATAACGTTGAACCCCGAGATTCTTTTAAATCTCTTTTCGGGTCTTTCCCTTCCTATTCTAGATGAAAACATTCAAGGAAATACTCCCGTTTTAGAATGTTTGGGGGGGAGGCAGAGGTGGTAACCAATACCAAACCCGCTACTGTCGAGTTGATTCCGACCATAGCGACACTATAGGACGGAGCAGAACTGCCCCAAAGGGTTCTCAAGGAGCAGCTGGAACTGTTGACCTTTTGGTTGCCCAGGATGCCTAATGGTTAAGCGCTAACTTAACACTCAGTGGATCGATGGTGGTACCAACAGACACACTTAATAGAATGTTAAATCAACTAAAAAGTACTATTTCAGGGCTGTTCCCTAAGCTTACCAAGATTTCTAAGATGAAATCTCCAGACCCAAGTTACCTGGTTAATATATTGACATCTCCAATTTGAAAAGTAGAAATAGAGTTTTTGGTAAATTGAGAGTCCTAAAAACAGAAATCAGTAAAGTATGATCATATTTCAGAAAGCTTTTTTAAAAAGTTTATTATTGTTGCCAGTAATAATAGCTTACTATGTGTCAAGTGATTTACCCCATATAACCCCATGAGTTAGGTTTTATTAATTATCTACAGTTTGCAGATGAGGAAACTGTGGTTCAGAGAGGCTAAGTGAATCCCAGCCATCCAGTCAGGGCTTCTGACCAGTTCCTTCAGTTCAAACTCGTCCTGATAATTTGCATTTCTAACTAGTTCCCTGCTGAGAATTTGCATTTTCACACCACATATACTGAATCAGAATCTACATTTTAACAAGACCCAGGTGATTCTTATGTATAACTTCCTGGGAATTTGTTTGAAATGTTGGTTCTGGTTCCAAGCCCTGCATCCAGTTAGAGCTAGGGGGAACTGAACCTAAGTCCCTCTCACCCAGAGCGCATGCTACTGGTTGTATGGAAGACAAGACAGTTAAGAAACAAACTACCTGACTGAGTCACAAAACACCAACACTCATAAATGCTGGGAAAAAAGGAAGAAAAAGGTACAAATGTAATTATGGTGAGAAATTTTTAACTTGTCGTTTTTAACGGCTGACAAATCCACTACAAGTAAATAAGCTCAACAGAATTAATAAGTAGACAAGACATGTAGTAAGCCATGCCTCACAAATGGGAAATACATTTTTTGGTTTTGATAGTTAACTGGATCTAATAGCTGCTTCTTTATGAAAACACTAAATACACAAACTGAAGAAAAGGGTTTTCAAGAAAGCACAAAATAAAGTTGGAAATGAGAATGAGACTTAAACAGTTTAAAGAGTTGTTTTTTAACTGCATACTTAATTGTAAAATACATGATCATTCAGCACATCTTTATTCTCTCTTACTGTCAACTCTTATCTTAACCCAAGTCCTATTTCAATATTACTACCCTTCCCCTAGGAACTCTGGTGGCACAATCGTTAAAGCACTCGGCTGCTAACTAAAAGGTTGGCAGTTTCAAACCACCGGCCGCTCCATGGGAGAAAGATGTGGCAGTCTGCTCTGTAAAGATTATAGTCTTGGAAATACTATGGGCCAGTTCTACTCTGCCCTACAGTGTTGCTATGAGTCAGAATTAACTCAATGGCAGTGGGTTACTCTTCCCCTAGGAGTCCGTGGCACCCCAAACCCAGCCACAGGTGCCTTGGAAGACAGACCTGACAATCTGCTTCTGAAGGTGACAGCCTTGAAAACTTTATGAAGCAGCTCTACTCTGCACACATGGGGTCACCATGAGTTGGAATCAACTTGAAGGCAACTAACAACCAGGACTTCGAACCAATTCTTCCCAGTTCAGTCATGGCTGAGGAAGCTAAACCAGAATAGAACTGAATTTTTACAATGTGGGTCATCCAGAATGATAACTGGAATGGGGGAAAAAGTGGTCAAAGCCCTGGAATGGGAGAGGCGTAGTGAGCTCTCTCAGGAGCCTGGATTATCGGCAAGACACTGGAGAGCAACACACACTCAAAGCTGCGCAGCCGGCCACCATCTTTGAGCACCATCTCCATTCCCTGGTAGTGGAAAAAATGATCAACTAGCCACCAATGCCAACAAGCAATTAGTATCATGAAGGACTTCAAAGGGTATTTGGTGCCATCTACTGGACATGAAGCAGTAAGTATAACATATTTTAGCTTTTATACTTAAAAGATTTTAGGTTTTTTTCCCTAAAATTTTACACAAATGTATATATACAATAGGAGCCCGGGTTGGGCAGTGGTTAAGCATCTGGCTTCTAACCAAAAGGTCAGCAGTTGGAATCTACCAGCCTTGGAAATCCTATGGGGCAGTTCTACTATGTTCTATAGAGTTGCTATGAGTTGGACTCGAGGGCAGTGGGTTTGGTTTTTTTGGTTATATATACAATGACCAGTTGATTAAGAAAATTTGGAAAGTACAAATTTTGAAGAAATAACTGAAAATCCTAAGAAATAAAAGTCATGACCTCCCAGTACGTAGTGCCTCAGAGGCATTATATAAGCACTGACTGATTGGCACAGCCCCAAAAATAAAAGTTGGGAATTCTAGAACATTTGAATCTGAATTTTATGACCAGAATTTTAAATAAAAAGCTCTATGTATTAGCAGAAACATAGAAGTTCCTGGATGGCACAAATGGCTAAGCACTCAACTACTAGCCAAAAGGTTGGCTCTTTGAACACACCCAGAGGCACCTCGAAAGACAGGCCTGGTGATCTGCTTTCAAAAGGTCACAGCCTTGAAAACCCTAAGGTGCAGTTCTACTCTGCACACATGGGGTCATCACAAGTTGGAATATACTCAACGGTAACAAACAGTAGCAGAAACATGGGCCAACAATAGCTTAATTCAAGCACACATCAAGATAAACCAATAGACCTGGGAAATACAGTTGAAAATGGGGAAGCACAAACACATAAAATATTATACTTGTCAGTTAATCTTTACTGCATCTCTTACAAACCTAAGACCCAGTTCCCTGCCTTTGAGGGGCATAGAATAGTGTGCTAAAAGGTAAATGCCAATGCTGAAAGCGGCAGCATGTTCCTTAAATGCTATATGCTGACAGTACCTTAGGGGGCAGGGAAGGTAACTGTCATATTATAATCTTTAAGTGTCTAAAAAGTTCCAAAAAAAAACTCTATTAATAACTGATTTTTCACCTCCTAAGCACTATGAAATTAAAATGAACTTTGTTTGTAAGTATTTGAGGAATTTATCTTATTCCTCATAGTATAAAAATCAGGACTGTAAGTTTCTGCTTCAATAACATCAATATCCTTCTTTGTGGCTACTTTGCAACACTCCAGTATCATGATATCCAGTATCATATTAAGTTTTAAAAATGGTGCCTTGCAAAAAAATTAGTCACTCCATGAATATTTGTGACTTTTTAAAAATAAGGCAAAGGCTGAACAAACTATGATATATCCATTCCACCAAACACTGGAAGCAGTTAAATAAAAGGAGCTTTACATATACTGACATGGAAAGATCTCCAGAGCATAGTACTGAGTAAATAAATTTGTAAAATGATTCCTAAAGTGTGATATTTTTGTTGCTGTGTTGTTAGGTGCCATCAAGTCAATTCTGACTCCTAGCAACCTTATGTATAACAGAACGAAACATTGTCCAGTCCTGCACAATGATATCCCTTGTTCCACCACCTCTTTGCAATCTGGCTTGAATTTCTGGCAGTTCCCTGTCAACATACAGCTGCAGCCGTTTTTGAATTATCTTCAGCAAAATTTTGCTTGCCTGTGATATTAATGATATTATTCAATAATTTCTGCATTCTGTTGGATCACCTCTCTTTGGAATGAACACAAATATGGATCTCTTCCAGTCGGCTGGCCAGGTAGTTGTCTTCCAAATTTCTTAGTATAGACGAGTGAGTGGGTCCAGCATTGCATCCGTTTGTTGAAGCATCTCAACTGGTATTCTGTCAACTCCTGGAGTCTTGTTTTTCACCAATGCCTTCAGTGCAGCTTGGACTTCTTCCTTCAATACC